CCTCTACCTGTAGCGCCATGAGGCAGTCCGCCAGTGTCTGGCCCTGTCCAGCGAGGTCAAAGCCCAGACCCTGACCCTTGACCTTCTGGAGGACCAGGTCAATGACATCATAGCGGTCACCGCCGTGCACACTGGCACTGACGTCACCAACGTGGGTCGTGTGTGTGTGTGTGTCTGTGTGTGTGTCTGTGGGTGTGTGTCTGTGTGTGTGTCTGTGTGTGTGTGCGTGTGTGTGTGTGTCAATGACATCATAGCCGTCATGTTATTGCTATATTTGTTGTTGTTGTTAGTGTTGTTATATTTGTTGTTGTTGTTGATGTTAGTGTTGTTATATTTGTTGTTGTTGTAAGTGTTGTTATATTTGTTGTTGTTGTTGTTATATTTGTTGTTGTTGGTGTTGTTATATTTGTTGTTTTTGTTGGTGTTGTTATATTTGTTGTTGTTGGTGTTGTTATATTTGTTGTTTTTGTTGGTGTTGTTATATTTGTTGTTGTTGTTAGTGTTGTTATATTTGTTGTTGTTGTTGTTTTTAGTGTTGTTATATTTGTTGTTGTTATTAGTGTTGTTATATTTGTTGTTGTTGTTGTTAGTATTGTTAAATTTGTTGATGCTGTTTCTGTTGTTGATGTTGCTGTTGTTGTTGTTATTGGTGGTTGTGGTGATGTTGTTGTTGTTGGTGGTGGTTGTGGTGATGTTGTTGTTGTTGTTGGTGGTTGTTGTGATGTTGTTGTTGTTGGTGGTGGTTGTGGTGATGTTGTTGTTGGTGGTTGTGGTGATGTTGTTGTTGTTTTTGTTGTTGGTTGTGGTGATGTTGTTGTTGTTGTTGGTGGTTGTGGTGATGTTGTTGTTGTTGTTGGTTGTGGTGATGTTGTTGTTGTTGTTGTTGTTGGTTGTGGTGATGTTGTTGTTGTTGTTGGTTGTGGTGATGTTGTTGTTGTTGTTGTTGGTTGTGGGGATGTTGTTGTTGGTGGTTGTGGTGATGTTGTTGTTGTTGGTGGTGGTTGTGATGTTGTTGTTGTTGGTAGCGCTAAATGACCATTATTGTGTTGATGTGCTTCTCTTTTCTCCAAACAAACAAACAAACATCAGCACTTGTAGGCAGCCATAATTGTGCTTCAAGACACAAAGTTGGTCCCATGTATTTGCGAAACGGTCCGGCCTCTCTTTGTTTTGCTACTCTCTTTTTTCTGCGACTGTCTCGGCAAGTTTGAGTTTTACATAACTGAATGATCTCCCTTTTTCCTCTGTTCACAGGATGTGGAGGCTCTGAAGGAAAAGTAAGCTGTTGTCGTGGTGGTTATGGTGTTGTTGTTGTTGTTGTGGTTATGGTGTTGTTGTTGTTGTTGTTGTCATGGTGGTTATGGTGTTGTTGTTGTTGTCGTGGTGGTTATGGTGTTGTTGTTCCTGTAGTTGATGATGGTGATAGTGATGATGATGGTGATAGTGATGATGATTGTAATAGTGATGATGATGGTGATAGTGATGATGATGGTAATAGTGATGATGATGATGATGATAATGATGGTGGTGGTGGTGGTGGTGGGTGATGGGGGTGGTGGTATCATATTGATGTTACTGTTTTTTGATGTTTTTGATGCTGCTGTTGTTGATGATGATGATGATGGTAATGGTGGTGATGATGATGATGGTAATGGTGGTGATGATGATCATGGTGGTGATGGTATAATATTGATGTTATTGTTTTAATTAATGTTTTTGATGCTGTTGTTGTTGTTGTTGATGATGATGTTGTTGATGATGATGATGATGATGATGATGTTTTTGATGCTGTTGTTGTTGTTGTTGATGATGATGTTGTTGATGATGATGATGATGATGATGATGATGATGATGATATTCAGCTAATGGTGGTTACTCTTCTTCTCCTTTTCCTTCCCTGTGAATCCCCCC